CTCTCTCCTCCTCCTAGCCACCGGCCACCTTCCCTCTCATTCGGATCCCAAATTTTCAAATAACATCTCTTAATACTTTCCAAATTTAGTGCATCATAATTTTGGAAAGTTAAAAATTAAAATTCCAATTCAATTCAAATTTGTAATCTCTTTCTATTTTAAAGAATGAGTTATGTTAGAAAAGTTTTCTCATTCATGCCAATTTGAATTTGAATGGCGATTTGCTATAAATTCTGTTTCCTTAATTATGAAGCTATGATTGGCAACTCTATTAAATCATCAATCCCACTCCCCAATCATTACTAGCCCCCTCTTGCCTTTTTCATCCTTTCCTTAAGTGATTCTATCACTTAATTCTCCTCAATCAATTACTCCAAATTAATTTCAGATATGGAGATTTGTTATAAATCATATTTCCTTAATTAGGAAGCTATGATTGGCAACTCCATTAAATCACCAATCCAACTCCCCAATCATTGCTAGTCGTCCGCCCTCTTGCCTCTTTCATCCTTTCCTTAAGTGCTCCTTCTAATTAATTGCCCCCAAATTAATTTCAGATTTTGCTAATTATAGGAATTATTTCCAAAATTCCTAATTGTTGTCCATGCTATAATATATCCTCTAAATCTGAAATTAAATTTCATGCTTCCTCCCTCCCTTTGATGGCCGACCACAACACCACCCCTCCTAAAATATTCATAATAACTTGATCTTTCTCTTAAGGAAGGAAGACTTGAATCCTCGTCCCCTGGCCAGCTACCCCACCCCTTACCTCCATCCTAAAGCTTTAACTTATTATCGATTACAAGACTTGTTTGGTTCAAGGAGCAATCCCATCAACCCGACGGTCGGTTTGGGAAATGGTGGAACAAGCACCAAGAACACGAGAACGATAAACTCTCTCCCTAAGCCTATATCTTCGACTCTTCCTCAATCATGACATCGTTTAATTTTGAAGACTTATAAGAAGGCTTGTCGTCCGGAGGGACCATAGTCGACGAAGGCTAGAGGAACTATAATCCGCATACTACTGTTGCCGGAGGGACTATAGTCAACAGACGATAGTTTCGGATGAGACCATGGTCCGCAGGCGAAGGATGTCGGAGGGACTGCAGTTAACAGGTGACGTTGTCAGAGGGACTATAGTCAAATGGCGACGGAGGTCGAAGAAACCATAGTCGACGAGTGATGATGATCGGATAAAGGCTTTGCAACGGATGCCATATAGAGGTAAAACGATGATAGTCAGGCAGAGATCTAGTAGTGGCACTCTTGTGACCAGGGCTTGTCGAAGGTGGTATCGAGGTGGAGCTCCATAGTTTTTCAAGCCATAGAGCTCTCATGAGTCTCTTGCCCATGGTTTAAGCCTCCAAAAGTCTAAGCTGCAAAGGTCCCAACCCCCAAAAATCTCTCCCCATTTTATGTGAAAAGACGGAGCTTATTTATAGATTTTAAGAGTGATATGCTCCACGAATATAATGAAGATTTAGGATAATTTTGGAGTTCTCCATTAGATGACTCTTACTAATTTCTTCAATTATAGAACATTCATTCAACATTCAGTTGCCTTAACGATGTTTGAATTAACTGATATTGTTCTCGTTGGATTCATCTCATCGAGCTGATTGATTCGACTATAAACATGCTATATTTGGATATCATTTAATCATATAATTAATGCTTTAGAGCTTTCAAATTTGCTCAAAGCTTCTTATTTGAACCCATTTTAGCTCGAATTTGGCCGATTTTGATGTTGTTGTGTTCGTCTCACTTAAATGTTCAATTTGACTGCAAATTTGCTTAAATTGGAATTTGGTTGGTCCTAAATTTAATTTTTGAAATTTCCATTCAAATATGTATCAAGATTCCTGTCTGATCTAGACTATTTTCTAGGACCTATAAAATATAAAAAAATATAAATTATCTCAAATGTAGCCTAAATGATTTCTTGTTTAATTTTTTAAAGACATATGAGAGGTTGAAATATAAACTCACTTTCTCATCAGATATGTAAGCTTTAAATTTTAAAACCTTTTAATTCATATATTCATAAGAACTAATTTTATTTTATTTTTTCATTTATAAATCGTAGTTATCGCGTTAGCTTTACTTACTTTAACCTTAGCCCTGAAGTAATACCTTTCAAGGTTATAAGAAGGCTTTTTCCCAAAAAAAAAAAGAAGGTTATAAGAAGGCTTGTCGTCCACACCCGCACCCGCCCCTTCTCTTCCTCACTCTCATAAAAAAATTCAAAACCTCAAAATCTCTCATTTCGGGCTGTAATTCTTCGTGCACACGAGCACCCTACCCCCTCGCTAACCTTCGTGGTATCCTCGTTGGCTGCGCGAAGATGAGCGGCTTTTCTAGGGTTTCAATCCCTAATAACACGAAGAAGATGATCCAGAACATTAAGGAGATCGCGGCGAATCACAGCGATGAGGAGATATACACAATGCTTAAGGAATGCTCCATGGATCCCAACGAGACCGTTCATAAGCTCCTTTACCAAGGTCTTAAAATTCTTCTCTGTACTTTTCTTTTGCCACTTGTTTACTGTATGTGATATTTCCGTCTCTTTTCTACTTGTTGACCTGTCGGATGGGTAATCTTGATTCCGGGATTCGATGTAATGATGACTTGTGCGTTTTATTGGATGGGATGCCGTGATTATAAGATCAAATTCGTCTTTTTGTTGACGGATTTCGATATTTTTGTTCATCTTTTAGCGTTTGTTCCACTTTCCGTACTGTTTTACCGTGCCAAATGTAGATTTGGGGATTTTTCTTTTGGGAAATTTTGAGGCAAAGCCTGTATATTAATCAATACAAAATACAACTAAGAGGCCTTAAAATAAGACCCGAAAACATAAACCGAACAGAAGAAAAGAAAGAAAGCAGTAAAACCGATAATACAAAAGTTCCCCAGGAAAAAACGGCGAACGAGAAAATGTCGGTCAAAACCTAGACTCAGTATGAAGCCAACCGCAGAATCATCATAAGATCAGCTGAAACAGCCAAGAACCCGATCAAGCAAGAGAGCCAAAAGAGGAGAAATGTGCCCAGATTGCCGCAGGGCCACCCGTGAGCACAAGGGCCATATCTGAAGACACCCGAGCTCCTATCCTCCAGGCTATAGGGCTTAAGCAAAGGTTGCCACATATACCTTCCAGTGCAAAAAGCCATGCAGTTGGCATCAATCCTCATCGTCTGCAAAAACAACAGCTCCGACAAGAGACCCAAATTCAACAAGCAATAGCAGCTTTCCAGATTAAGCGGACCGGAAGCCTCAGTTTAGGATAGCAAATTGTCTCTTAATTTCGTCATAATCCTTTCTCCTTTTGACCCGAGAAATGAGAGCACGTATAATCTCATAAAGTAAGGAAGAGGGATTAGCCCCCATATTCCCAAACCTAAGATTGTTCCTTTGACTCCACAAGAAATAGATAGTGTAGTTAAGAGCCAATAAACAAAAATTTTTACCCCCCTTACCATGATCCAAAAGATCCAAGTGTTCAAAAGCTTGACATAGGTCGGCCTGAAGAGAAAGCTATTAAAGAAGGACAAAATAGATGTGATCACCATGAATGAGAAATCACATTCAAAAAACAAATGCCTATGGGATTCTGGAGCGTCTTGGCAAAAGGAACAAAGAGGAGAAATGGGAATAGATATTCTAATGAGAATATCAACACATTTTAACCTTCCGATGATAGCCATCCAAGAGTAGCAGGAGCATCTTAGTGCGTGTTTCTTATGCCAGATGAATTGAGACCAAGAAACCTCCGCCAAACTCCCAAAAAATTGAGAAATAAAAATTTTAAACTTAGGTTTGCAAGAACCATTCCACGAAATACCCCCAGGATCACCAATCAATACTCCCAAAATAGACTGCCAGATGTTTGTAGGAAGAGAGCTAGGAAGATTCCAAGTATCCTCCACAATGAAATCTTTAACTAGTGCCTGTGTAAAATGATGTGAATGCCCCAGATCATGGAGCGAATTACCATTGCACCACGGGTCCCAGATCATAGAGTAGGAACAGTTAGAAGAAACATTAAAGGTGATGTTATTCCTGATGTTCAAAGCCGTAAGACAAGTAAACATCCAAAATTTGGAGGCATTAGCATTAGGAGGTTTCCAGGGAGAGTGGAATTTGGACTTAAACCAAGCGCTCACAAGATTTTTGCAGCTATAAAGCCTCAAATGAAAGAGTAGGACACAACATGATAGATAGCCGATGGAGGGGATACCTAAACCCCCAAATCTGTGAGGCTTGGCCGAATCCTTCCAAGCAATGAGGTGAACCTTTCTTTTATTTATCCGACCATGAAAAGGAAATTTAGCACAGAGTTTGGAAATTAATTTACTACACGCTTTGGGTATAATAGATCCTCTTATCCAATAGAAAATAGTGTTGGCAATAGTGAATTTCAGGAATTGAACTCTACCTGTAAAAGACATAAAATTTACTTTACAACCATCAAGTAGAGTAAAGATTCTACTCAGTAGTGGTTGGAAGTAAAAGAAGTTAAGCTTTTTGGGGGAAATGGGGATCCCAAGGTAGGTGAGGAAGTTTTCAACTCTAGAGATCCCCAAAATTTCACAAATACTTGTGGCTTCAGGGGCAAGTTTGGAGAAGATGATAGAGCTTTCAGAAGGGTTAACTTGAAGCCTCGAGGCATTGCCAAACTCATATAGGGAATCTTGGAGAGCGGCATCATTAACAGTGGAGGCCTCATCAAAAACCAGAAGATCATCTGCATATAGCAAATGATTAATAGAAATCCCATTGGAGTAAATCCCAGTGAAAGGGTTGGTCGGATAGGATCTTTGGAGACAACAAGATAAACCGTCCATAACAATACAGAAGAGCAGAGGGGAGAGAGGACACCCCTGCCTTAGCCCCGAGGAAGCTTTAAAGAAACCTTCAAGAGTACCATTTATGGAAATAGAGAAGAAAACCCCAGTAATGCAACTTTTAATCCAATTCAAGAACTTTGAGGGAAAACCTTTTTGCGCCATTCCGAGTGATCAAAAAGTCATGAGAGACAATATTGAAAGCCTTCAAAATGTTCAATTTGGCACAGAACAATTTTTTTGAAGCATTAAATTCCCTAAGCAATTCTGAGGCAAGTAAAATATTATCAGTCGAGCACCTAAACTGAACAAAACCCCCTTAGCTTTCATGAATAATATGGGGGCAAAATGAGTTTGAGTCTATTGGCCAAAACCTTGGCCACAATCTTGTAGAGCACATTGCAGAGAGATATGTGTCTGTAATCCGATATATTTGAAGCATGAGGTCTTTTGGGGATCAGGATTAAAGCAGAGGCTTTAGCACCCTTAGGTAAATACCCTGTGTGATAGATATTGTTTACAATTTGGCATAACATTGGTTCGCTAATATGCTAAGTGCGTTTGTAAAAGGCATAATTAAATCCATCCAGGCCCGGGGCAGAATCATTATGGCCGTCAAAAACTGCAGATTTGATCTCATCGTAAGAGAAAGGGACTTCAAGAGAAGCCTTCATATGCTCGAGGACAGTGATACCCAAAGGGAAATTAAAGTCAGTTGCATGTGCCGGCATAGGGGGGTTAAACAAGGATTTAAAAAGCTTAATTAAGGCCTTAGCAATATCAGGTTGCCGCGATCTCCTTAATGTTCTATATCATCTTCTTTGTGTTATTAGGGATGGAAACCCTAGAAAAGCAGCTCATCTTCGCGCAGCCAACGAGAAGACCACGAAGGTCAGCGAGGGGGTAGGGTGCTGGTGCGCTCGAAGTATTACAGCCCGAAATGAGAGATTTTGAGGTTTTGAATTTTTTTATGAGAGTGAGAAAGAGAGAGAGGGAAGAGAAGGGGCGGGTGTGGACGACAATCCTTCTTATAACCCTTTTTTTTTCTTTGGGAAAAAGCCTTCTTATAACCTTGAAAGGTATTACTTCATGGCTAAGGTTAAAGTAAAGTTAAGGCGATAACTAGGATTTATAAATTACAAAATAAAATAAAATTTGTTCTTATGAATATATGAATTAAAAGGTTTTAAAATTTAAAACTTACATATTTACTTTATTCCCGCTATTATAATTTATTGCCTTTTTTAAAATGAAAGATGAATCCTGTTCTTTTTTGTTTGTGTGAGAGGCTCTTTTTTAGGATTCACTTATCATGCCTCTTTTTAATGTAATCATTAGAGGCAGTTAGCTTTGGTGTCCATTACCTTGGGAAGGATCTGTTTGTTTCACACATCGTGTTTACTGTGCAGTTGTGGTGTTTCTGGTTTCGGTGACTTAGGCAGAAATGTGCTAATTGGTTGAGCATATCTGTTAGCCCTTGGGTCCGTCCGCAAGTGTACTACCTAAATTATTTTTCCTCAATCAACTTTATTTACTTACCTAAAATTTTTTTTGTTGTTCCTTGAATATACTTGAATTCGAATACTAATATGTGAATAGCTGTGATTGGTTTATGATGCATAGTTCTCTTTGAGTTTGCTTTGTTCCACAGTACTGATATTTGTTTCATGATAATCTCCATATTTACTTTTTTTGTATTAATCTCTCACATTAACAAAAAAAATCTCTCACCTGATATGTCTAATTTCTTCGTATGGATTTGGTGTAATTATGATTCATTTATACCATTTGGATTCTTTCCTCTCACAACTGTTTGTGTCCTTGCGAATTGTTTCGTTCTAGAATGATAAATTGATTTATTTTCTTAAAATTCAAAGTTTATGTATACTCGAAAGCATTGTTAGTAGAGGTAATTACTTGGAATATTCCTGGAAGGATAGATTTGTTATATGAGTCTATTAACCTTATATTAATCTGAAGAGAGTAGATTATGAAAGTGATTTTGTTGTTGTAGATACCTTTCACGAGGTCAAGAGAAAGCGTGACAAGAGAAAAGAGGTAATTCTTGCGCATCACTTGCTTCCCTTCATTTGCTAACTAAGTTCTGTAAGCTTAATCGCAAATGTAAATGTTTGAAGAGTACTGATTTGCAAACTACAATTTGGTACGCTATTCTTTTTGTCCTGTCAATGCTTGCAGTATCGGTGTTGATTAGCTTTTTTTTTTCCTGATGTTCATAACCTTTCTTTGAAACGTAAATTTTTATCTCATTGTACTAATTGGAAAGGTTATATCATTCTTCATTTATTTTCTTAATTTGTTTCTTCTGGTAAAGTTTATTTTCTTGTCATACTGAAGGAATCCTTTAGTTACTTTTGTTTTGAAATGACTAAAAGCACTTTGAAAATTTCTTACGCATCAGTGTTCTGCTACTTTCAAAACATGATGGTTAGTTTTTTGAGCAACTATGACCAACTCTCAAAAGATAGTTTATGTTTGCTTCAGTGCATTTGACGTGTTTTCTTTTGCTTTCCAAGGGTGACTAACTTTATTCTTGTTAAAAGATATGAACTTATCAGAATGCTGCATAATGAAAAGCAAAGCAAAACATAAAGGCCATAAGGATGGTTTTGTTTATGGAAAAATGATTGAACTAATCTTTAGTACTTCACTATGACAAAAAAATTTCATTGCTTTTATATTGTTTTACCGACATGATTCATTTATAGCTCAACTGAGCATGTTGCTTTCTAGACAATCAAATGCTTTTTAAACTGTAAGCTTATAGCAAAGTTCTTGATTCTTATCAAAGAAATAATAGCTTTTGTTCGACATAGGAAGGTTCCTATGCATGGCAATATAAAGTGCTTAGGAAATTTTTAATTTGTTTATCCTGAAGAAATAACATGAGGATTAAGCTAAATAGAAGAGCATGAATTCTTAAATCTACTCAATAGAAAGTCTATTTGAGTTCATTAAATAATTTATATGACATCATGAAAATTAAATAACCATTATACTTGCGCTTTGCCTCGCGTGTTAGATGCATGACAATCCACAAGATAATATGAAAAGTAATTGGCACCAAGTATCCTTTTGTAGAAAATGCATTACTAATACCACATTAACAAAATTGCAAATACAACATTAACAAAATTACAATGGCAAAAAGCTTTGATTTTTAGTATCAAAGCAAGCTTGAATGAACCAATTTCATTCTCAAACGTAATTTCATGAAATCTTAACTAAAGAAAGACAAGATTGGGGATTTCCTAATTTTGTATTGTGTTAATAAAACAAAAAGAATATATTGAGAGCAGTGTGACTGAAGAGAGAAGGTGATGATGAACTATGATGACAACAAAGACAATCTACATAAATGAACAAGATGGTCAATGAAGAAGGCAATGCTGAAGAAGAATAAAAAGATTGGAGTTGGCGTTAGTGATAGTGATGATGCCCATGGAGATGAACAAATTTCACCATTGCTTGACCCCACCATTGTTGTCATGATGCTATGACATGGTTCTTGTCTGTTGCGAAAATGAAATAGGGGTTAGGGTAAGGAGTGAGGAGATAAGTTGATGTTAGCTTATTAGGGATTAAGGATTGATGAAGCTTATAATCATAAAATTGTCATCTTATATTGTATATTCCAAGCAGGGGATAACCTTGAGCCATTTGGTCATTTGGTTAATTTTGTGTCAATTCTTTAGTTCTTCCAATATTCTTCCATACTATTAATATCCAGTTCATCCTGCAGCCATATGATAAATGACCATGTTTAATTTCTCAAATCATCATTCGTTTGCCATGACTCTCATTTATGGTGGCACTTCAATTGTGGTAGTCATTAATCTTTAATAATTGTCCTTGACCTCTTTAGATTGCTAGATTTTTGGTGGTTACAGTTTACATCCTCTATTATAAGAACTATTTTACTTTTGTTGCCTTGCTTAGATTCTTTTACTTTTTAATTGCTCGTATATCCAATTTTCTTGCTGTCAACTCCACTGGGATTAGTAGTGACATTTCCTGAATATGTATGTATCAGTTGTTGCACCTCTCTCTGCTCCAGTAAATTTGTTGTGATATATGTTTTAAGGGATAAAAAAAAGTTTGTGGAAAAAAAGTTTCTATCTATTAAGCATGGATCATTAGAAAGGAAAATAAATCAGCTCATATCCACTAATAGTTGCGTGCCAATAGTATGAAGAATCTACATAGAAATATTTTGGGGTGTCAGATTTTCTTAGTTCTTGGAATCTTAGTTATTAAATATGATAGTTTATTGGCATTAGAAGGTTGAATTGATAACCAATTGTAACTTAAGTTGATTCCCACTCTGGCCAAATCAACCCATTGCCCATTGGCCCTTAAAACCATCACACTAATTGGTTGAATAGCCGATTTCATTTTCTTATCATTGAGTTTTTTTATGCATTTGCAAGCTCTCAATTTTCCAATTTTCAATTATTATTATTATTTTAACTTTACCTTAATCTTTAGAATTAAAGAAATTTTTTTCTTGCATTACAATTTTACTTGTCAATATCCAAATTATGTTTGTTTAAAGAATATTATCTTTTAATCAATTTAGCAATTCTTAACTTTGTCACAACATTTAGGATAATAGTTTTACCTTAGCTTTTACTAAATTGCCACAAGCTTTTTTCCCTTAACACATTAAGCAATAGTTTCTTCACAGCTATTACAATTCAAACGCAACCGAATTTAACAACTTATTTTTGTTTTGATACTGTAAACCCCAGCTAATATCCCTAGTAAAATGAGGACTACCTTAATTCTAGTTTTTCATCTTTATCTTTGACTTGTTCTTCTTTTAAGCATTCCCTTTGAGCTCTCATTTTGGAAGCTAGATTTTTGTTTTCATGTGAGATGACTAGGGAACTTTTGCCTTCCATCTCTTCTTGTTCTCAGGATGCTTACATATGGATACACGTGCCTTCGTAATATGGTTGCTTTGAGGACTAAATATCTTACTTAATTTTATTAAATTTTGAAGCTGGAAAGTTCAGAGGAGCGGGTAGTGTGTGTATATATATATATGTGCATTTTGTTGTAAATTAGAATTTGTTTGATGTAAAACAAACATGCGAAGAGTTGCTTTGGGATTGTAACAATAAAGATTGAATTTGGGCATTGCTAATTAGTAACTCATGCTTCAATCAAGTTAAATTCTTAGAACTTTTCGTTGGAAGATTAGATAATGGTAAGCCGTTACAAGAGGTTAGCAAGACAATTGCAATAACAACAAAAATTAAATAGTAGTACTAATAACAAGTAATCAAGAATCCACAGCGGTAACATCAAGACATAGTCACTTAGAGATCCTACTCACTCAATTACTCTTAGGCTTTAGCGGATGAAGACAAAGCATGCGGTGAGAGAAACTGCCACTAGGAAGATGGTACTGAAGGTCTTTGTTGATGGAGTGGTAGCCATAGACGGAGAAGGGGTAGATCTCCCAATGAGAAGCCAAGGCGTCTTAGGTTTTTGGAGATCGATCGTCTCCGCTAAGCAGTAGAGGATGCACTTGACGTATCTTTCCACCGTTTCGTCGTATTCCCAATCAGGCTCGTAGAAGGGGGAGAGGAGGATGTCGATTTACCCTCGGTCGTTGTAAGCGAAGCCGTAATCGACCTCAGGATCGGCCATGCACCATAAGCATGAGAAGGAGAGAACACAAGGAGGAAGACAAAAGGAGAGAAAAGGGTGGTGTAGAGGGAGGCCGGTGGCTTGAATAGGAGGGAGAGGGGTGGGGACGGCTTGGAGAGGTGGGTAGGAGGCTAGGTTTTGAAGGAGCTTAGGTTAGGTTAGGGTGGAGGTGTGGTTTAATCTAAATCTAAAATTAATCTCAGATTTTAATTAAGTTTGGAGGGAAATAATTTGAAATTTGATTTCAAATTAATTGTAATTAAGACATTGATTGAGGATTAATGGGGGGGGGAGCCATAGATGGGGCCGGCGGCATGGAGAGAGAGGGGGAAGGGGATTATGGGGGAGTTAGGCTCTTTCCAAACAAGATATGACAACTAGGCGGGAAATAATGAATCCTTCAAAATTAAATTTCGAATGGATTCAAATTTGAAAACTTTCCTTATTTAGATTTCGCAAATAAGGAAAGTTTTGAATTTCAAAATTCACTAATTTCTTCCTTTAATGCTAGATCTAAAATTAGGGAGTCATTATGATGATTGAAATCATCATAATGGCTAGTTTTGAAGGAGCTCTTAGTTAGGTTAGTGGAGGTGTGTTTAATCTAAATCTAAATATTATCTCAGATTTTGATTAAATTTTAGAGGAAATTAAATTTGAAATTTGATTTCAAATATATGTAATTAAGACATTGATTGAGGATTATTGGGGGGGGGAGCCATAGATGGGGCTGGCGCATGGAGAGAGAGGGAAGGGGATTTGGGGAGTTAGGCTCTTTCAAACAAGATATGAAAACTAGGCGGGGAAAATAATGAATCCTCCAAAATTAAATTCGAATGGATTCAAATTTGAAAACTTTCCTTCTTTTAGATATTCGCAAATAAGGACAGTTTGAATTTCAAAGTTCAATAATTTTCTTCTTTTAAATCTAGATCTAATTAGGGAGTCAATTATGATGAATTGAAATCATCATATGCTTGATTAAGGGTATCGTGGCGGGCGGTCAGTGCGGGGGGAGGGGGATTTGCCGTCGGGTTGAGGTGGGCTTGGATGGTGGTTGGACTTGGGGTGGTGGAGCTAGAGGATGAAGTGGGTGGGAGAGATTAAGCAAACGGTGGAGGTGGACTTGGAAGGGGACGGTGGGTGGAGAAGGGAAGGAGGATGGGGGAAACACAAATAAAAATATAAAAGAAGAAATTACCACAAGCCGTGGACTCTTCTAACGACTAGTGGGCCTTGCACTTGCTCACCTCGAGCTCTCTCCCTTCTCTCTAGTGATCACACAAGAAGAAGAAGAAACACAAGAAATTTTTATTAAACATTCATCATCCCATTACAACACATAGGGCCACTATATATAGGCCTCTAACATGAAAAAA